AATATTTTTGATACTTGTGACAAGGAGATGGAAACGCGTTTCAAAAGTTTGAAATATTCTTATTTTACTTTGATTATACTATATATATACATATAAAAAAACTAAACTTTTTTTTCTTAATTCCAAGAAGAAGAGGAACAATCAATTTCTTATGTAAATTGGGGTCATGAAATTATGCATGAAGCCAATAAAGAAGGGAATTCATAAATATCATTCTTTAAATTTGCTCAAGTTGTGAGTGCTACAAACAACTTTTCAGATTTTAACAAGTTTGGATAAGGTGGTTTTGGACCTGTTTATAAGGTAAAATCTTTATAAACTTTTTCAATGCTATGTGAAACTCTTCAGTGCATTGTGAAATTGATATGTAATGTGCAAATGCTCTTATATTTGATATAATTTCAGGGCAAATTACCAGAGGGACAAAATGTAGCGATCAAAAGGCTGTCTACAAGATCAGGGCAAGGTTTCGAGGAGTTCAAGAATGAAATTTTATTAATTGCTAAACTTCAACACAGGAATTTAGTAAGGTTATTAGGATGTTGTATTCATGGCGAAGAGAAGATGCTGATATATGAGTTCATGCCTAATAGGAGTTTGGATGTCTTTCTTTTCGGTAAGTTCACATCAAGTTATGAAGGAATAAATCATAAATCTTGTCTAGTAATCAAAATATATAATCCTCTTATTGTTTTACTGGAAGTGCTAATTATGTTCTATTTTCTTCAGATGTTAAACAGGGAGTAAAATTAGATTGGACAAAACGTTTCCTAATAATTGAAGGAATAGCTCAGGGGCTTATTTATCTTCATAAGCACTCTAGATTAAGAATCATTCTTCGAGATTTAAAGGCAAGCAACATTCTCTTGGATGCTGATATGAATCCTAAACTCTCAGATTTTGGTTTGGCAAGAATTTTTTATGCTGATGAAAGCCAAGCAAAGACTTGAAGGATTGTTGGCACCTAGCAAGTTTATGAAATACTCATCACTCTGTTTTAAAACAAATTTTGATTTGGTCTCATTTGGTTGCTTGCATGTGGAACATACATTTAAAACAAGTTTTTTTTTTTCACAGTATCAAAACCAAAATCAACATCTTTAATATATTTTTCAACTCCACATTAGGGGTGTCAATATTTGACACGACACAAAAATCCGACTCGAATCTGATCCGAAAATTTTGGGTTAGATCCGACCCGGTTTTAAAATGGTAGGGTTTGGGTTGACCCGTCGGATTTCCGGGTCAAATTGACCTGACCGCGCGCCTGCCCGAGCTTGCCTGCCCGCCTTCTGCCATACACCGTCGCCGTCCTCGAGTTAACTACTCTGGTCTTTTCCATGTTGTTCTCCCTAACGATGTTTGGCCAAATTATAACGAAGTAGCAGCAATCATACATTTACTTGCACCAGCTTTTAGGAAACGTACAGGTAGACCGAGGTGTTGACCCCTATACTTCATTCAAACCACGTGCGAAAGGACCAAATTGGTGAGTAAAGCGATACCCGCATTGGCGCCACGTGTTATTTGAAAGATCAAACGACCTCTGATTGCCAAACGGACGATGTTGTTGCGATCAGGACGTCGAATTCTGCTAGGTCAAAGCCCCTCGCAATTGAATCGGACGAGATCGGTCAAAAGGGACGACCGACACCAGAAATTAAAGTGCAAGACTGATCAAACGATCCCGGATTGACGAATAGACTTCATCGTTGCATCCGGAATATTGCCAACTATGAAAATTGCATTTTGTTTATTCCATTTGGAGTATCTAGATTGGTAGCACAAATTCCAATGTAATGCAAAGATGCGTATATCGAGGAAACGAGGCCTCAAAGATGCTCGGACAACATCCGATCGACGAAGAAACAGTACCATTGCGTCTGGAACGTCATCGACATTCAGAATATACATTTTATTTAATAAATTTGGATCATCTGAGATGGTGGTGAATTTCTAGGTGATGCAAATATGATATAAAGGCCTGCGTTACGACGGACACGAGTCCCCGAAGATGCTCGAACGACGTCCGATCGATAAACGGACAGTGTCATTACGTCCGGAATGTCGTTGGCATTAGAAATATATATTTTATTTGATTAAATTGGATCGTTTGATGTGGTGTCGCAAATTTTAAAGGCGATCCAAATATGTTGTGCATGCACGCATTACGAGGGAAATTAGCCTCGTCGGAGACTAAACGATGTCCGATCGACAAACGGACAGCGCCATTGCGTCTGGAACGTCATCGCCATTAAAAATCTACATTTTGTTTGATCAAATTGTATCGTTTGATGTGGTGTCGCAAATTTCAAAGGCGATCCAAATATGATGCAAAGGCACACGTTACGAGGGAAATTAGCCTCGTCGGAGACGACACGACGTCTGATCGATGAACGGACAATGTCATTGCATCCGGAACGTCGTCGGCATTAACAGTCTACATTTTATTTGATCAAATTGGATCGTTTAAGGTGACGTCGTAAATTTCAAATGCGGTCTAAATATGATGCGAAGGCACGCGTATCGCAGAAATTTGCCTCTACGGAGACGACATGATGTCCGATTGCCAAACGGAAAGCGACATTGCGTCCGGAACGTCGTCGGGATTAAGAGTCTACATTTTATTTGATCAAATTGGATCATTTAAGGTAGCGTCGTAAATTTCAAAGGTGAATAAAATATCATGTGAAGGTGCACATATCAAGGAATTTTGCCTATTCGGAGACGACATGATGTCCGATCAATAAACGGACTGCGCCATTGCGTCCGGAACGTTGTAAACCTCTAAAAACTGTATTTTGTTTATTCAATTTTAAGTATCCATAATGGTGGCACAAATCCCAAGGTAATAACCAGCATATCGAGGAGTTTGTCCCTCGACGTCGCCCAAACGATGTCCGATTGCAAAACGGACTGCGCCATTGGGTCTGGAACACCGTCAATACTATGAATACAGTGCCAATTTGTTCGAATGAGGCAACATACGCAAATCGAGAAAGCACGCGAATCGATATCATTTTTGTTGATTGATGCATTGCTGACCACCCTAGTTAATTACATTGCTTATAATAGCATGTTATTATTAGCTCAGATAATGCATTTAACTCAAAATTGCCAAAATAAATGTAAAATCAAATCACAATTAAATGCAAAACCTGAAACAACTCAAATATCTGCTAAAATCCCCTGAAATCTGCTGATCTCTGTCTACATCCCATGAATTGAGCTGCTGAGGTAACGTCAACCACAACCCTTGTCGATTAAAGTGAACAAAAAGGAAGCCCTCGTCTCCTCTCTGGGGTTCAGGCCAAATTCAAAAGCTAACTCCTCCCATCTGCTATAGCCGGCTGAACTTCCACGACAAAGCCTCCTCCAGCTCTAAAATCCCGTCCTCCCATTCACCGGATTTCCAAAAAAAACATGCAGTTCGTCTCCTTCCAATGCCTTAATCAGCTCTCATGTTTAAGCTACAATCCACTGATCCTCCACTGTCTTTCACGTGAAAGAAAATGGTTGCTGGATGGACTTCTTCTATTTCCTGTTGACGTCCATCTCTTAAAAGCCGATTTCATCCTCAACGTGCATTCCAAGCTCCTGAGTGTGGATGATAACCAGCACACCTTAATGCAGAAGATGGGCAAGCTCATGGTCTTGTCCACGGCTACCGAATGTCACTAAGGTATGAACACTTCATGAGCCATCATCCTGGTTTGCATCGTGCTTTTCCTAGAACCTGAAGAGCTTAGAATGTGTAAGAGCCGTGAAAAGCATCACTGAGAATTTGTGGGAGAAATACATTGGAGAGGAGGTTGTGAACTTGCATGGTCATCTATTGCCATTTCCAATCAGAATGTCCGTTGATGGAGAGTTATTCGAGCTCACAGTTAATGGTGGTTTTCCAAACACTAAGGAATCTATCAAAGATAAAGAAGAGTGCTTTATCTGTTCTTTCTAACTTCATCCACAAAGTGATAAGTCTGACTCACCGAGGAGATTTTCAACAGCAGGTAGTGATATTGCAAGCTTTATTTAGCCCAAAATCAAGTCTTACCGCTGAAGAAATTTATATACAAGACAACTAACAAGAAGAGGAAGAGGCCTTCATCCAACGACACATCAATACAAGTTAGAATATAACTGCAGCTAGCAAGTTGAAGCATACCAAGCCAGAAGTTTCTATAGAGAAAAAAAAAAAAGAAAGATGGATCATAAAGTTTTGACATGTGTTGAATTTCACCATGCAATTGGGAATCAAAAGAAACCTTCTGAGGCACTGTTGACCTCATTTTTGTATGAGGTCACTTGGACTAACCCCAACCCTCAATCACTTTTGAATCAAATTTCAATCATCTAATATTTAACCTCAAGTCTTTGATCAATCAATCATTGTCAAATCAGATAGTCATTTAATCTAGTCTATAATTTAGCTAGCGATCGATCTCGTCGATCTTCCTTAAAATCACAATTGAATCGCATATGAATTAATTAAAGTTAATTTGATCATACGAACTAGATTTGGTGACGTCGAATTTGTTCGACTCAATTTAAATTCTACTCTCCTTGACAGATTCGATAAATTTAATTTATGGTGTCCCGACTCGGTTCAAATGCAAATTAATTTATTGACTTTAATCAACTAAATTTAATTTATTCTGAATCGAATCGACTTTGATAATTGCACATTATTTTGACCCATTTACATGAAAAACTTTCGGATAAGTAATTGGGCTTGTCAATCTTGGCATTCATTCAATCATATCATAACCATCCAATATAAATTTGTCAAGGGAAGTAAGGCTTAATTTTAACCCTTTGATTTAGGATTTCAAAGGGTATGATTGTCATTTTGTTTTAGCTTTTTTTGACATATGACACGTTTTAAAGTGATTAGGGTAAGTGGCCACTTGGACGGTTTTTTTACACGACTTCAGGCCCTAGACCGAGGATGATCGCCCCATTCTCCAGAAGCAGCCGCCCCTTGGAATGGCTCTCCCTCTCATTCTCAAGAGAGATCTCTCACCCGTTCAAAAGCTGCTAGGGCCGGCTGAAGAGGAAGAAGGCTGCTTGCACCTCACGACCCCTCTTTCCTCTCAAGCTAAATTTCTCTTTACTCTTGCTGAAGCCGGCCAAGCAAGCTATAACAGAATTTGGTTAAGACTTCAACGTACCAACCTTTATACCAGAGTTTGGCCATCTAGTTCTAATGCTTATTCTCTGCCGTAAAGACCCTCCAGATGGTAGTTCGGGCTGCAGTTGGAAGAGGCGAGCTACAAGGGGCTTTCGGTGTGATTTACTACGGTAATCTCTTCTTCTTCTTGCTAGTTCCTTTCTTTTCTTCTGTTTGAATCTGGATGGATGGAGTTCATCCATTAGTTGATATTCTATGTTTACCTGAGACTTGAAGTGAGTTTTCATGAGGCTTTATAAAAAGAGATAGAAGATTTTTAAACATTTTCTTCTTGTTGTTCTTTTTATTTGCTTATTATTATTATCATTATTATTATTATTATTATTTAATTTAGATATTTTTCTTTAACCCCAATGTGACTGAATTTTTATGTGTGTGGATTTGTCTTTCAAGATTTTGTTTTCTTCCTAAGTCCGAATAAGAAAGCGTGATGGATTAGTTTATAGACTTGAATGTTCATGGTGTTAGGGATAAATTTTCTTATGAAAATGAACGGTCATCACGTTCTGGCTTTGTCCTTTGGATTTATGTCTGAATTCTTGTGTTATTCTTTATCTTATTCTACTAGAGGAAAACATCTTTCTAGATTTTCATCTGATGCGAAGCTTATGCTTACACTATGAAGTGTTATTCTCTACAGGTCCTCATCAAGAAATATGTTAGAATTTATAGATGAATGTTATATTTGCTACTAGATCGACATTTATATTTATTCAACATAAGACTTCTGGTTTTGGTGGCAAAATGGGTACATTACTGCTTCTTTATTTCTTGGGTTTGTATTTGATTTCTTGTATCAGTCTTCATCATCTTATACTTAAAAAAAAATTTAATAATCTCAATGATCATCATTGGGTGTAGTGTTCTTTGTCATGGCATGAGATTTTTATTCTCTATGAGTTCTTAGTCTTCTCCCTGTGATCAATTAGCTGGTGGATCAATAAATCTGGGGAGATTTCTGTTATCTTTCGCATGATATTAGAAGCTTTAGCAATGTTTGTTATCTCTAATCAATTAAAAAAAAAACTCATTCCAGGTAGATACTTTTACACGAACCTTTTTCTATAACAATCTCTATGAGGTCTGTCTTGATGGAATGCCTTTTTTTTTTATCGAAGGATTTCACAAGCACTAACTCCTTACCATGTATTTATTTGATAAATGAAGAGATACCATATCTGTGAAATTAATTTGGATCCCGACTAAGGGTTCCATAGGGATTATGTTGGATTGTACTGAATTTCTTCTCCATAATGATCCTTTGAGAGATTGGGAAGAGAGAATTGCTGGATCTGTCTAGGAAAACATGACATTTTATACACATTCTATGTTTAATGAGATCTATGAGTTTGGGTTGGAAAGGTCCCTTTATATGCTTGATAGCATATGGTGTGAATGCTGGAGAGCATTCCGTATGTTTTATGTTTTAATTATGAGCACTCATAAGTCTTACATAAGGTGCTTTAGTTATGCTGGAATTTTCTTGAGGTGACCTTAATGAATTTGGTATGTTGTTCCATTGGTGGGTTTGAGAAATTGGAATGCCATTGCCTTACCTCCGTCAACTTTTTATCTTTTAAAAACTGAGATAATGGTCCTCTTATATCTTAATAAATCATGTGTTGGCATGTCATTTGTTGCAGAGAATATGTAGGATGCTTATATTCCAAGATTAACGAATGAGTGGAAGTTGTATTATATATAGTTTTATTCCAACAATAAGTGTATATTCAGATGTTTTGATTAAATTTGAAGATTTCGTATTTTAGTTTATATTTTAATCTTAGATGCAAATGCTATTGTTCGCTATCAGACCAGCTAACATCCTAAACACAATCAATCGTCATATATGCATGAAAGATAGGAAGGTTCTATCCTAGGAAATCAAGGATTTGTAGTTCAAGAGTTTTCAATCAGTGACTATATAATATGCAAAAAGATATACCTAACGTCATGTATGATGCATGAAATGGCTACAAAATATCCCTAAGTCTATTGATGTAATGCATGTATGTAAGTGAAATGTAATGTGAAGTAAAGTGTGTAAAAATAAATGCATGCATGACATCCAGAGTACAGAAAAAATAAATAAACACACCCTAAGGGTACCCTCCAGGCAAGGTACCCGCACAGAAAATCATCATAATCATGCCCACTTCGTGTGGGAAAACAGCGATGCCCAATGGCATAAGTAGGTGGCCTACTCTACAGGCCTAAATGACCCTAATGGTCTCTAAGGCTCACAGAAAAAAAGAAAAAAAAGGAGGGTATCGTACCCAAAACCAGAAGGCCAAAAACCTAGCGATGCCCACTTCGTGTGGGAAAACAACGATGCCAACCGGCATAATAGGTGGCCTACTCTACAGGCCTAAGTGACCCTAATGGTCTCTAGGGCTCACAGAAGGGGGCAAGCTTTGACCTATAGGGCCAAAGCTTCGTCAGTGAACTAACCTAAGGCTGGCTACCTAAACATACTAGAATACCTATTAACAAGCAGTGTGTGATGTGAAGCAGTTCCGATATATAATTAAAGATTTATTTTTGCAAGCTGCAGAAATTATACCTGACTGTATGTGGCGCTGCCACTTAAAAGCTCCTAAGCAAGCAACTCAACTAACTCACCCATGCAGGATACGGGTACCTCGCAAGACAAAAATAGAGAGAGAAACAAGGAGTGAGCGTAGATGCCATTCGAAAAGGAAATATAGTTAAGCAAGAATTAACTTAAAACAATTAGGATTTATAATTTTGAAAAATATCTAAAGCATATGGAAAGAGAGCATGTACAAGTGAATGTGTCAAACGAGTAGTAATAATAGAATGCATAATTCCACATGTTTGGATTAGTGCATATGAAAGCTTGCTAACATGAGAAAAAAAGAAAAAAAAAATGATACGTGAAACATGTGACAATTTCTAAACATAAAACCTACACCCAAATATGAGATCAACGTATCTAAACCTATGACCAAAAATGTATAATGAGTGAAGTTCTATAATGTAATTATAGGCCTCTACCTTTGCATGATGTCAATTATGTAAGTGAATTTTAAACTCAAGAAACCTCACATAAACATTCACTAATCGATAACACATCTAATATGTGATTAGTTGAAACATACAAATTTAAGACTAACATGTGATGATAATCTTGCATGTAAACATGATATAAGAAATTAAAAGAAATCATTATATCTTAACATGAATGTTTGCGCAATTTGAATCAATTAAAAAAAAAAAGAAATATTTACACGACTTTGATTTTAGAAGAGATTTATGTCACTAAAAAAATGAACTTTATGAGGAGACTTTTGCAATAATATAAGCCTTATATGCAATGTTTCTAGATTTCTAAAATGAATGAAATAAATCATATTCAGAATCATTTTTTAAATATTTAAAGGTGTATTACCAAGTACAAATTAATTTTACATTAAAAGGAATATCAATCATAGATTTTCTATTAATAAATTCATTTACAAGATGCATGAGAAGGCTCTTTTAAAAAAAAATCATACCAATCAATTCAATCTAATAAGACTAGTTGATTATTGATTTGATCCCTCGACTTTATTTATTAACAAAGAATATTGTAAAATACTAAGGATATGTATACTTACATTAATTATTATAATTGATTCTCAAATAAAGGAAATCAATCTAAAAGATAAAATTCATCCAATATACGATAAGGCATACCATTTAAAGATGAGCAAGATTAGTGAGTAAAGGCACAAAAAATAATAATAAAATAAAATAAAATTCAGATTTACTCACAATTATACTGATTATCATACACTTGATTAACTAGTGATTGTATAATCCTATATCCATATTCATACAAATTTTAAATCGATAATGATGAATCCATAATAAAATGGAGAAAGATAATTCAATCATAAGTAACTTCAGATCAAAATCTAAAAGTAGTTTAGCATTTATGAGCTTCAGTTTAACCATATGACTCTTTAATAATAATAAATAAACAAATAAAAAAAAGAAGTTAAATGAATAAATTCGAATCACATAGCAAATGTCACATCTCCAACACTCATCATTTGAATACTCCATATTTAATTGAATATTATTTAGTCATCTGACATTAAGCAAATTATCAAATATTTCTTATTATATTCATCATCCACCTTATATTCTTTTAATAACAAAGTCATTTCAAATGTGATCGAAAAAAGTATCAATATTTTTTATCATATATGTGAAAGAGAAAGAACTATATCATGCTATTGCTTCAATTATTTATACAAATAGAGCATCAAATACCTCGCAATATTAATTAAATATCCACTCTCAATTACTGTCACGATGTCATTAGTCCCAATATAAGATAGATTACAATGGGTACTCTAATCCATTGAATTCATTCAGGAGACAACTTATTTATCCTATCAAAATTTAATCTCAAGTAGGAAACAATCCAAGATAGATGATATAATAATCAGAATTTGGACTTAAATTTCTCGTGGATACACATAGGGATCTTTCTAGAAATTACTTATCAACTAATAAACGAACAATCTAATCAATTAGTAGGTAGAAGTTCCACATATCTCTCTTTTACAGTTTCAAAATCCGACCAAACAAATGATACTCGATTCATATTACACTTCATTCGATATAAAAGTTAGTGAAGCTAAGCATATATTTCACATATAATTATTGTATCTAATATTTGAGAACTTATGATTTATTCATTCTTGACCTTGAGAAAATAAAATAAAATAGAATAAAATGAAATAAAATAAGTATTAGGAGATGATTCTTTTTTTTTTTTTACTAGAAAATATTTGGCATAAAAAAAAAACACATAACCTGTTTGTTTAAACGATGTAACATTGTTCATCATAATCATTTTTATTATAAATAAAAGTTTGCTACTACCGTAGGGTTCTTAGCATACATGGTAGTTAGAAATAATCTCATAAATATGAATAAAACATCATTATTATTTACAAATGTTAAGTAAATCATGCTTTAAAAATAATAAAATAATAATAATAATAATAATACAACATGATTCGCATGGAAATCTTTGAATAAAAATCAAACTTAATACATTGTAACTCTTTTCATCTTATTCATCAAAAAAAAAAAAAGAAAAAAAAAAAAAACGAATAAGAAAGCGTGATGGATTAGTTTATAGACTTGAATGTTCATGGTGTTAGGGATAAATTTTCTTATGAAAATGAACGGTCATCACGTTCTGGCTTTGTCCTTTGGATTTATGTCTGAATTCTTGTGTTATTCTTTATCTTATTCTACTAGAGGAAAACATCTTTCTAGATTTTCATCTGATGCGAAGCTTATGCTTACACTATGAAGTGTTATTCTCTACAGGTCCTCATCAAGAAATTTGTTAGAATTTATAGATGAATGTTATATTTGCTACTAGATCGACATTTATATTTATTCAACATAAGACTTCTGGTTTTGGTGGCAAAATGGGTACATTACTGCTTCTTTATTTCTTGGGTTTGTATTTGATTTCTTGTATCAGTCTTCATCATCTTATACTTAAAAAAAAATTTAATAATCTCAATGATCATCATTGGGTGTAGTGTTCTTTGTCATGGCATGAGATTTTTATTCTCCATGAGTTCCTAGTCTTCTCCCTGTGATCAATTAGCTGGTGGATCAATAAATCTGGGGAGATTTCTGTTATCTTTTGCATGATATTAGAAGCTTTAGCAATGTTTGTTATCTCCAATCAAAAAAAAAAAAAACTCATTCCAGGTAGATACTTTTACACCAACCTTTTTCTATAACATTCTCTATGAGGTCTGTCTTGGTGGAATGCCTTTTTTTTTTATCGGAGGATTTCACAAGCATTAACTCCTTGCCATGTATCTATTTGATAAATGAAAAGATACCATATCTGTGCTGATCCGAGCGCGAAAAGACTCGTTAAATTCGTCTCGACGAGACGGATGTACTCAAGCAGTCCATTTTGCAAAACAAAATTTTGATCAAAAGTTATTGCACACGGAACGAACATGCGCGATAAAGGCCCAAATGCATGAAATCACATCGAATCGTTATCAACCCAACCACATGTATTTTGAAACATGATAAGATGACAACATGTGATCAAAAGGAGTAAATCCTAAGGCCGACGACGAGCCGATGTAACATACGCAAGGTGACCTTTCATCAACACATCGGTGCAACATACAAGCAGATGAATCGAGCTACGAAATACAAAAGTGATAAGAATGTGCAAGTGGCCGGTGCCAAAAAGGAGGTCAACAAAGGTCCCTTTATATGCTTGATGGCATATGGTGTAAATGCTGGAGAGCATTCCGTGTGTTTTATGCTTTAATTGTGAGCACTTGTAAGTCATACATAAGGTGCTTTGGTCATGCTGGAATTTTCTTGAAGTGACCTTAATGATTTTGGTATGTTGTTCTATTGGTGGGTTTGAGAAATTGGAATGCCATTGCCTTATTTCCGTCAGCTTTTTGTCTTTTAAAGACTGAGATAATGGCCCTCTTATATCTTATTGAATCGTGTGTTGACATGCCATTTGTTGCTGAGAATATGTGGGATGCTTATATTCCAAGAATCATGAACGAGTGGTAAGATGTATTATGTATAGTTTTATTCCGACAATAAGTGTATATTCAGATGTTTTGATTAAACTGGAATATTCCTTATTTTAGTTTATATTTTAATCTTAGATGAAAATGCAAATTTGATGAGTTACAATTATATTCCTCCTTCTCTTTGCTTTATTTTCACAAAGTTTGAGAGAATGCAAGATCCTTATGTTTTCTTTTTGGAGGAAAGCAAAGAGTGGTGGGCCTTCATTCTGTAAAGCGTTTTCAGTTATAATTCTCTTAAGTAAATTTGTTGGTTTCGAGAAAACATTGCTGCTTTTCTCCTTTTCCCATAAATTTTGATGAGGATCTTTCTCCATTTGTCTCTACTTTGGGGAAGAGCGAGTTTTAAGTGGAAATTGAGCATGAAACTTAAAGGTTGTTCTTACTTGTAATATCTTTTGTAAATGTTCATTCAACATGAGAAAACCTGGTACACTATTGTATGTATTATCCATGTTCTGGTTCTTCGACAAGATTATATGTATTGTTTCATATGTGAATGCTGGAAGGATTATATGTACCATTGTGTTTTGATACTACACTTGACGTTTGATAATAAAGGTTGTTGAAAATTCTCTTTTGTAGAAGTCTACAAGAATTTTTCTTTAAAGGTAGATGGTGATATTTATGTCCTTCTGTTAGAGGTTTGTGGCATAAGCTTTGTGTTTTATGGTTTACAGTCGCAATTCGAACCGACATGAAGTTTAAGGGTTCTGAAACTCAGCATATATGCTCATGTCTTGAATATTCATAAGTAAAATGTATGAGTCTTTGGAAAGGGTGGAGCAAAATTTATTTTTCCTCCTTTCTTTTGATAAGGTATATGGTGATAGGAATGAGAAGAGTTCATAAAAGGAAGTGTCCGGGCTACCACTCTCATGTAGCCGTTCTCACTTATCCCCCTCGTGCTCCTGTTTTCTAGAGATTAATAAAACTAAAGATGCCAAAGCCTTTATAGCATACTTGAGTCAGAGATAACTTCTGGAATGCCGAGACGGATTTGAATGCAATTTCCTAGTGCCGTATTCTGTAGCCAATACTTTTCCAGAGAACTTATTTAGTGTTAGTTTGATTTTCCCACTATATGGCTTGGATTATTTTTTTTAATGAAGTTTCAGTATATACGAAACATAACGGATTGTGCATATGGCTATCTTCATGTTGTGTTAATTTTTGGGACTTATCTCCAATGCTGCAAGTGATGTGGATGAAACTATGTTCCCGGGAAAGTGCTATGGTTTATTTTATTTGAGGTCTTCTTTGAATAATATGGCTACAATATTTTTCTATCCTTGTAGATTGAACGTATGTCAATCACTTTGGGAGTCCAATAAGCTTGTATATAAGTGCTTGTAGTCCAGTTATTTATGTTATTCATTTTTTTGTTATTTATGTTAATATGCATATTTCCAGTCCTTTGCTGCAAAAGAGGTGAGTAAGGCTTGCACTTTGTCGTTACCATTTGTTCTGATCGGGACAACACAGCTTAAGGCTGTAGTAGATTTTTCTCTGCTTATCTTTAGCATCTATCCGTCAGATCCAGTATATTTTATTCATGGGGTTCATGCTTTGTTTGAATTGTTCATAATCAGACCTAGCTATTTTCATCTACTGCTCTCATTTTCATAACCCAGATTTAAGTTTAGTCTTGAATTTATTCTAAATTTGATTGATTTTCATTTACTTTTATATTGATTGAGCACCATCAAAAGTTCAGGCATTGTAGATGAAGCTTTTGTATTGACCGTATATGAGATCCAGTGGATCATTTAAGAGATTTCTTTTTCGGATAGGAAAACTGAATTATGTGATTCCTCCATTCAATAAACAGGATGTTATCTACTCTTGAAATTTGGGATCAGTTATGTGGGCAGTAAATCTGATTATTTATTGCATAGGATATAGGTGATATTTATTTATTTCTGGTTGTTCACAGTATTGTGAACGGCTTGTAGCTTTTGGTTTGCTTGAGAAAAGAACGTTGAACTAGATGGCTTAGATGCAATGATTTGTTAGAAATAAATGGTGGAGCCATGCTAACGTAGCTGTCCCAAGCGATATAAAGGTCCCATTGTGGTCTACTTGATCCATCTTGATGTAGTCGGCTTGATATGGCACTTTGTGATCGCCCTTCAAAGTGATGTTATTAGTGATCACCTTTGATAAGAAGTGGATGCAGGAAATGAATGACCGGTCTGTAAGCCTCTTGATGCTCTATTAGCTATACTAGTTCGACCTCCCTGACCATGTACACTCACTGATCAACTCCTTCATTAATTATTCAATATTATTTAATATATAGCACTATGATAGATATAATAAGATATCTACTATTGGACTCTATTTAATGCAAGTGCTATTATTCATTATCAAAATTTTCTCTCTGAGCCTTAATTATTCTGAGGTGTTTTCAGATCTTTCCTATCTCGTGCAAAATCAGGATGCTGTTTCTTGTATTCGAATGCTGTACAGACTGTTCTTTTAAGTAAATTTCCTTAAGTTGTCATTGATTGAGAATTCTACTTTTGGGCTAATGATATTTTCCATGATTTACAGATTTTGAATAAATGGCCCAATAGGTAGATTTGAGATATTTCAATTTCAATGCTTCACATATTTAGTTTCATGTTAATTCATACCAATTTCTATGTTCGCATATATGATCTTCTGACACCTCTTCCTCTCGTCGCCTTTTTGCGAGGTACTGATGGAGCTGATTGGAGGATGAGCCAAGGAGCTTCAATCACCCCGTTTCTTCTAAACGGGGTGCTACGGCCGGAGTCACCGTCGACTAGCTCCGGTGACCAGGTAAGTTTTCTTGAAACTTAAAAGTGCATAAAGCTTCTAAATTTATCTATTGAGTTATTTCCCCTCAGCCTTAATTTCTTGCAATAATTTTTGTATTTAGTTAATACATGCTTTCATTTTTCATTTACAAATTCAAAATCCATTGACATAGGTTGTTTATATTTGTAGGTATGTCCAAAGGGTTAGTGACATTGATTCAAACCTGTTAAACCTAGTGACATCTTTAAGGACAATAATTAAGGACATTTCTAGAGAACTTAGAAAATTTTTAGAGATTAGGAGATATCTCCTATTAACTTAAGACTTGAACAATTTGAACCTAGTGACATCTTAAACCTTAAAAAAATTTTATCTTTTCTTTTAATCATTAAACCAATTAATTGATCTAATTAAAATTAAATCCTTAATTAAGCAAATCAAATTTTAAACCCAAGTGACATCAAATTTAAACCCCTTAAGTTTAGTGATCTTCCCTGCTCTAGGGAAAATTATCACTAAAATTCAAACCCTTTGAACCCCTTAAGTTTAAACCTTAATTAAACTTTAAAACCTTCCAGAAAATTTCAATCTAGCTTTAAAACTAGCAATCAATCTTAAAATTAATTTTGAATCATTAAGATTTAAACTTTAACCAAAATCTTCCCTTGAGCCTTTCAACCAATCAGAACATTAAGCAACTTTAACCAATTACCCGATTTAGGATATATCCAAACCACACAGCCTGCTACACACAACTAGATTGACCCATTAGGACACGGACTCTAGCTTTAGGTTAGGCCGGTGTTTCTTTTTGTTTTTGAGATAGATTGATATGCATATGAAATGAGAATGGCATCCTAGGTTAGATAACATAGACATAGGTTCACTGTCCACAGACCTGTGCACTTCCTGTTTGTCAGCCTAGGATTAGGTCCCCAGCCCCTTGGCTTATGAGGTCCCCTTGAATGAGGTAACCCATGGTTGCTAACAAGGATCCTCTGGTCAGCACTCGACTAAGTAGGCTAAGGATATTGACGAACCTGGGACGATGGAAAACCATGGGATCTTGACCAGGGACGTCATACCCACTTGGTAGGTTAGTCTTCACCCTTACCTCCTGGGCATTCTCCCGATCTGGTGATTGAGAATATAAGTCTCAACTTTCTAATAAAATTGACCATTAAATTAAATATATCTTTCAATCAAATTCGAGACCAACACTTAGGATAGACTGGAGCACTTCTGAATTGTTTCAGAATCCCAAGTGCCTCCTACTCCTCTTCCTTTGGATCCGAAAATAAGTGTTCAGATTTGATCCAATCCCGATTGAAAATTCCAAACCTTAACCTCCTTTGACATCCAACTTTGAAATCTTAAATAAAATTCATATCGCTATTTTAATCGAGAGTATTCGTAGGAAAATCCCTAATTTTCCTATGATGTAATTAACTACGAGGGCTTGCGCTCGTAGGAGATTTTGTAACCCAGATCTAATTTTTTAAAATTAAAATCGATTTCTTTTAAAACTTCAATTAATTATCTTTGGGAAATTCAATATTTCCAAAAATAATTAAATATTTTCAAAACTATATATATTTAAATATAAATATTTTTTTTTAATCAAAACAAAAAATGGCGACTCCACTGGGGAAAAGTCTCACTCTCCATCTTTAATAGCGGTATGAATTTTTTTTTTGAATCGGTAGTCTTAACTACCTTTCTTTCCGTTGGTCCCTCTCCCATTTCTTCCTTGGGTGAGTGTGGCCAACTCAATTAAGACATGTGAAACGAGAGGTGAGTGTAGGAAACCTCCCTTTAAGTCGGGCTTTGACATTTTGCCTCCAACTTGATTGGTAGAGCGAAAGAGTCAAGCCAAAATCCTTCTGTATATGTTGCAAACTCGCATGCGAATAAATCTTAGCATGCTAAGTTTCACAATTTACAGAAAAATTCTTCAACTTTAAAATCGTAGTTTCAAATCCAGAGAGAAAGAAAGCAAAAAAAAAAAGAGAGAGCAAGAAAGCAAAAAAAAAAAGAAGGAAAGCAAAAAAAAGAGCTTACAAAAAAAAGAAGAAAAAAAATGCTCTTGATTTTCGAACCAATTCTCTCTCTTATCTCGTCATGCGTGTCGAGTCGGTGGTCTGCCTATACACGCTTTTCTCTAGCGTGGTGGGAGGGGCAACCGGCGCGACACCTACGACAAGGTAGGCGAGTGATCCTCGGTTCCAAATCCTATTCTCGATGTGCGTGTCAAGTCGGTAAACCACCTATACACGCTTTTCTCTAGCGTGGTGGGATGGGGACCCAGTGCGGTGCGTACGGCGAGACTGGGATATTCATAAGTACCCGCTCGCGGGGAAACAACTGCTTTTCTCTTATAAGTACCCACTCGTGGGGAAACAACTGCTTCTCTTTTGCAACAGGTACCAAAGACCCATACACGCTTTTCTCTAGCGTGGTGGGGGGCGACGATTACACTGCCGCGGTGTCCTCATACGAGGGCACCTACCGTACACGCTTTTCTCTAGCGTGGCGGGAGGCCCAGTTTTCCATAGTTTTCCCCTAAACGGGGGAGACGCCGGGAGCCTGCCGAAATTTTGTCTGAATAAGACAAGGACTTGCAAACTTTTGGACTGTATTGGACTTGAACTTGTGGACCAAATAAAAAAGACTAATTTTGAATTTAATAAAAATAAAATTAAAATGAGCTCATACTTTAATATGACTTGAATAATTTAAGTAAAATTTTGGTGGGAAATGTGAACTCCTATGAATTATCGTAGGAGACTTGTTACATACATAAAAGTTCCATCCACAAGAAAATACAAAAAAAAAAAAAAAGATCTGCAACACGTACGATCTCTATACGAAGACAAATGCATGTGCCACATGTCATTAATGGGTAGATGCAGAAAGACTACAGTAAATGCAGTATCCTGTAGTCGACTTCAGTCTTAGGATAAATACATCTATCTCCAACAATAGTGGTTGTATTGTAAAAAATTCAAAACCACAGCAGAATGCATAAAGACTACAAATTCCTATGAGCTTCTACAACCCAAGGCAGGAGACTCGTTAGTGCACTACGATCCACCTACAGAAAGCAACGAGTAGTGCACGACAGTCTACCTGTACGAAGCAGCGAACAACTCTATTTAGAAGCTGCTATGCCACGCTACCGGATCCGCAACTTCTATGAAAGCGGACAGAAGGCGTCTACAATATTTTCAAAGTACCCCTGTACGTGCACTATAAATTGTATACACATATGTACACTAAAGGGGAAAGTACAATCACAACCCGCAAGGGCCCCGACGAGCGTGTTATTGGTACACATGTGACGTCTAGGGATGATGTTCGGGTTACTAAATCTGAACCCGATCCTTCCAAGTAGAGAAAAGGAGTTGACATGGTTCAATTATAAAATGCCCCCAAACACCCGCAAGGGCCCCGGCGAGCGTGTTATTGGTACACACGTGACGTCTAGGGATGCTGCGCGGATCAATAAGTGAATTCTAGTTCGAACCCGATCCTTCTATACGGGTCAATAGAAGTCGACAAGGTTCGAACCAACAAACAAGTATCCGGTGATGGCGACCGATATATTTGTTTTAATGCATTCATATCAGGTCTTCAAGGCCTATAATCAAAAGAATTCACTTACAAGGGTAAAAAGTCTACGAAACCCGATCTTCTATCGACAGCTCGATAGAGTCGACAAGGTTTATCCATAAAATACAAATATTTTCAAGTGGAAATGACCCCACGAACACCCCGATGATGGCCGTGTTGAACAATGATCTCAACCGGAGGGGTTCCCAAATATTTTCAAATGCCTCCCACAAGTTCACTCCAAAATCAAAATTCCCATCATTCAAAAAATCAAAAAAATATTTAAAATTTGAAATAAATCCATCAAATCACTCAAAGCAAAATCCATCCATCCTCCGCAACAGTTTGCCGGGGTGGACAAATCAAAATTTACTTCAGCTCACAATAGAGCTAAATGCCTGGTCAAAAATATCACTAGGATCCATTCTCAAACAATCTCCTGCCAGTAAGGACGTGGTACGTGTCCTCTAACCGGCGGTTCGCCGCCAAATGGCACCGCAGGATAAACGGTTATGACCCGGGGCCCTCTGAACCGAGTGGTTTTGCCGCCAAATGGCACCACGAAATACCGGTTATGGCCAGAGCCGATACGCTCCTTATTGGCATCAAATCCTTGAGATATGAATCAATAGGATATAATCGATAGGGCACAAAGCCCTCTGTTAGTTAAGGTGGATTCAAATTTGTCCCCTTAGACAAACATTCACCCCAGGTCTACAAGGTACCCTTGGACGAAGCAACCCATGGCTGCCGACAAGGATCCTTCTGTCAAGTTGGGTCGACTACCTCCTCTGACTAAGTAGACCAGGGACCACGATAGCCCGGGATGACAGAACCATGTGATCTTGATCGGGTCTATCATCCATTCCCCCACCATCCGCTTTAAGTGCAAGATGGTGAAATTTCCTATTTTAAATATCAAACCTTTCAAATTCTACATCCAAACATTCCAAATTCAATCAATTCCAAATCTCAATACCCAATTGCTGCTATTATATGCTTGATATTGTGTATCTACGGATATAACATATTTGATTGACGACTAGCCTTAATCGAAAGTTCTCTCTCGTGATCGGGAGAGATAATTAACTATAGCGGCTTGCGCCTATAGGAAACCAGAACTCAGATCATAAAGTCCTCGCAAAATGAGGGCGAAATCTCTGGGTAGTGTCTTATCTACAAACCCATCTGCCTTCAAAAATTTACCTCGGAACTTATTCAGTTAAAACTCCCTCGCCGAATTAATAAAAAGAAATCGCGCGGCGGGGAGGCCGGGGCCGAATTTTCGGAGCCCACACGAGGACAACTAGATTTTGTAATACAATGGATGAGGCACAATCAACCTCAAATAAACGGTGTGGACATTGTAAGAGAAATGGTCATAATAGGGCAACCTGTCCGTATAATCCGGCATCGTCGAGGTATTTCTTTTAATATGGGATAATTATGATTTTTACACTTAGAAAACTAATTTATTTTTCTTTTTGAATTAAAGATATGGTCGATAGATCGAGGCATACTAACTTCGAGCGGCGTTGAAGGAAATATGATCCATAACATATAGAATTTCGATTGTTCCAGCTAGCGATGTGTTAAGCTTCAGAGATTGCGTGAAATCTAAAAGTTGTAAGATGTGTTGATGTTTGAAATTTCAAAGTATTAATATGTGTTAATGTTTGTTTAATTAAAATCTGGTTAAGTTGTAAGATGTGTAGATCAACACATCAGTTTCACTTAACTTTTATTTAACTATTAATTTATATGTCATAATTCATCTAATGTGTTCACATATTGACTGTTGTGTGCAGCAGTTATATTTTGATTGTTTCATTCTCAAGTGCAATGAACCCGAACCAAAAAATTCCCTTCAAAACGTTGATCAAGGAGGGAAGTACTAGATTAAAGGATTGTTTAACACATTAAACTGATGATGTGTTAGAGTAGAAAGCCAGGTCAAATGAGTTATATCGTTGTTGTGTACATTCTTGGTCTGATAAGGAAGATTACATCTTATGGGAGAGACAGTCTAGCTATGACAATCCGATCTTACACGAATGAAAATGGTTTGAACAAAGAAGGATGGAAATATGTGCAAAGTAAGGGTACCCTGATGTTAGGGCATATAGCACCAATTAATTTTCTGAAGGCAAGATACAATGAAACAAGAAGGTGCAAAGATGGATTTGTTAAAGTAATTGTGTCAAATCCAACTACTGATATAAGTAACTATATTCTCTACAAAAATTGGGACACTATAGCAAATAAATTCCTTGTTCAAACGTACGATAATTTGATTTATTGGCCAGGAAAAAAGAAGAAAGATTTTCTTGATGCATCGGATTGGCAATGCGTACAGCTTTGGTTTTAACAAAGATTTGGTTGTTGCCCTACGCAAACCCAACTACAAGCGCGCACACAGAAATTGATAAACAAACCATAACATTAGTATATGTACTGATGATTTAAGTGAGATGTGGCTTATATTAAT